GATTTTGAGATTCTGAGCACGTGTCAGACAATGTGCAGAAGCTTCCAGCATTTGCAAATTAGGAAAAAATGTCACATATAGATTTGACAGATTCAGGTCTATTCTGCCCCCCATAATGTATGCGATGACGACTTGAAGGCCTGTCGGCTTCCATAAGCGGATCACAAACACGATGACTGATTAAAGGAGGTATGTCGCCACACTGTGCAAATCCACACCGAAAAGACATCAGGCTTTCACAAATCCCTTTTATCTTCAAAGATAAAGCTTTAGCTTCTGGCCCCTTAGAATGATAGTAGCAGCATTAACATTTATTATCCTGTCTTCTTTTAAAAGTAGTATAATAAGGTAAAACAAAGAAGTGAAAGAGCCTGTCTAAAGACCCAAGGAAGTCATTTATTGAGTCACAAGCTACAAGCCCCAGAGCTGATGATGGAAAAGCATAAGAGAATATCATCCACCCTTTTAATACAATATCAATGAAACATCACATGCAATAATTAAAACAAGACAAAGAGAGGACAGTGGTCCTAGAACTGAGGGTATGTAACATGGGTAACGTGTAAGACAGCCTGCAGCAACTAAACTATTCCCTTCCCTCAAGCCAAAAGAGGGAAAGAAAAAAAAATTAAGACAGAAGGGATTCTCTGGACGTTCAGACCTTTCCAGATGTCATGGAAAATTACACAAACCAAGGCCAGTTGAAGAGCAAGTAAGTACCTGTTCATATCAGCAGCACCCACAGTGATCCCACTGGAAGCTCTTCACTACCTTGAGGCCTGGGAAGCCACACCCTGGGAACCCCACCACCTACACCAGTAGTAGAATTCCATAACACTCCAAAAGAACTTCCACAGTGGTTTCTCCATTAACCAAATTCTGTCTTCTCAGCATCCCTCTTGTCCTTATTGCCACCCTGCTGTCTTCCGGGACTGCCTCTTCTGTCCCTGGAAGCTCTCTCTCTGATTGCTTCACCATTATCGTGTTATGAGTTGAACTGTCTCCCCAAAAAGACATGTTGAAATCCTAACCTCAGTGCCTCAGAATGTATTTGGAAATAGGATGGCAAATGTTAAAATGAGATGATAGAGGAGGAAGGAGGATCCTTCATTCATCCTGCACCCTTATAAGAAGAGAAGACATGGAGACAGACACAAGAAAGTAGATGATGGCCATGTGACGACACCGGAAGCCTCAAGGGCAAGGAAGGATTCTCCTCTACAGTTTCAGAGGTAGCATGGTCTGCTGATACCTTGATGTCTTATTTCTAGCCTCCAGAACTGAAAGCTAAAAATCTACTGTTGTTTGAAGCCACCCAAAGTGTGCTACTTTGCTCTGGTAGCCTTGGGAATGAAAAACACCTCTCAAGAACACTACTTGGTTCTCTGTAATGATACAACATACTTTCAGCTATGCCCTCTGGCAAAAGTTCCTGTTCTCTTATGAAAGATTGCACAAAGTCTTTGAATTTTTCCTAAGGAACTCTTTCTACCACCTCCTGCAGTGGAAACCTTCCTAGGCAAAGAGAGCCCTTGATGAACACAAAACCACCAAGAGAGGAGAACACTCTGCCCTATTTTTAGCTTCCCATTGCTGCATGTCGACCGTTACCCCACCCCTTATGCCAGAGCTATGGCCCAGAATCCACCCTTGACCCTCTTTGCTTTTCCCTGTACATATTCTACCTCAGCGACCACGGCTCCCTCCCTTTCAATTTGGGGGAAACGGCTTCAGAACTACATCTTAGCTCCTGCTTAGTTTCAGATCAGTGTTCCTTGCGGCTCTTCTCCAAAAATATGTATATTGGTACCCAAAGCTTAGTATGTTCCTAACCAAACTCATGCTTCCCAGTCCTAACCAACTTCTACTTTATTCTTTCCTGTGGATGGCCCTAGTTTTCTCCTACTCAATCAGATATGGAATTCTAAAGTCACCTTTAGTTTCTTTTTTTGGCCTCAGCTCTACGTAATTTCCATAGACTCCACCTCAGATGTGTCTGTTGCCTGTCTCCTTCTGTTTATCAGGCCAACACTGATATCACATTGACTCCTTAACTGGTCTCTCCATCTTCCACTTAAGTACACATCCTGATAGACTCCCTCAGACTTTAGCAGTTTCCTCATTGTCTAGAAAATTAAGAATAAAAAAAACAGCCTATGATCCGAAACACCCCATGATTGCATAACTACGCGTCAATGTCAAGAGTAACAATTTTATATCCTATACATCACTATACAAACTCTGCTCCAGTCAAATTGTGCGATTTGTTGATTCCCAAATATTTTTTTGGCTTCTCCAGTAAAATCTTTTAGCCAAAAATGCCTTGGGCTGAGACTAAAACAGCTGGGATATCAAGGAGCTATTTGTCTTTATTTTATCAAGTATCTCCTATCACTCTCCTTCAGAAGGATATCACCTAGGGAGAGGCCACCACTGACATGCTCACAGCCACCATTTACTCATACACTTCCTTCCCCCAGATTCACAAGAAAAACTTCCCTCGGTCTCAAATTTTGTTAAAATAAAAAAACATTCTAATTAAACTGTACAAGCAATTTACTACTAAGATGATTTTCATTTCACTATCATCCTATTATGACATGTCTGAATTACTCAGATATAAGACATAGTATGCCTCAATTTAGACTGAAATTTCATAGCAGTTGATGTTGCTAAAGAGGATTTCAGAATCAAGTAGGGGAACTTTTATTTATAAGAATCGGGAAAATACATAATTTTATTAATAGGCAGACACTCCAAAAATGCATTTATACATTTCCTTCTTAGTCAAGATAGTAAGATTTTTTAAAAACACACTACTAACATCATGACAGAGATGTCATCAATGTTGTAGTTAAGAGCAGCAAATGTTACAGAACTAATGAATTTTCATTAGAATCATCAGATAATTACAGAATGGGTTAAGTTGCTACCATTTGCCATTCCCATTAATATCATTGTCATGTAAAAGGTTTAATTTTCAGCTATTTTTGTTCTAGATAAAATCTTTGTCATTAAAATGAGGGATGATTTTGATATTTAATATATTCTATGGCATACTCTAGTGTGGTACTAATTTGGCCTTTTCAGTATTCTGCATATTAATTGACAACCCATCCCTCCTCCATTCCCCAGATAAGTGAGAACTGAAATAGAATGGACAGCCAATCAAGTCAAAGAAAACTGAAAGCATCAACATAGAAAAAAAATGTGTTGCTCTAATCAGAAGCATACACAAGGCACTAAAATTATTTTCTCCCATACTAATGACTAAGATAGAAACAGCAATAATGAATGGCACCATCTGAAACCATTTATGTGACAGTATTACCAGAGTATAGCAATGCTCCTGAAAAAGTAAAAACTAAATATTTCTTATTTTAGTCAAAAGAAGAAAATTGTACTGCCACTTAACTTTTGGAACAATGAATTTTATCAGATTCCACAACAATTGGCAAATTATGTCCTGTATTGAATTTTTCATAGTAATCTGTTTCAAGCACACAAAAATGTTTCCTGGCATTGAGGAATGCCCAGGATCACTGCAGAAAACTTATTTCAATACATACTCTATTAGTTTCCGTCTCATGTCGAATTATCACTCTGGTAAGGATTGACATCAGCTGCTTAAATAATGCATTAACCCTGCTTCCAGCAGCTATTGTTTTCATCTGAGTAGGCATTTCCTCTAAGGATAAACTTGGGCTTTTTACCCAAGAAGATAATACAAAGTTCAATCGAATGTTTTGAATCATTTTTATGGCAATAGTGATATAATTTAAAATTCCAAAGAGCAAAGATTATGGCATCATGGACACTTAGAGCAGGTGTGAACGGTTGTCCAATTAAATAAATTAACCTAATCTGTCCAACAAGACCAGACCTTTCTACAGTTTCTGCAACAGCACAGCCATTGAACAAATGTGAAATATGCCAAATCCTGTGCATAATAAATTTCCAATTTATACTTCTTCTCAGTTGACAATGTAAGGCATCTTATACAGAAGAACAGACCTGAACATCTACAAATTTTTCAAATGAAAATCTTATTTTTAATAAATTTAGACTGTTTGTCCTTGGTAATTATTGTTAACTCTGAATCAAGCCCATGGTCTTTTCCTTTCTACAAGAAAGAATTTCTTCCTTTAAGTTCATAATTACTGAAAAACAGCCAAGGGAAACTGTAATCTTTCCATGAGATGTTGCTATTACCTACATAAAAAAAACGCATTCATTCATAATAATAGTATTTAAGTAACAATAATATGTCTCCTTTTTATCCACAAAGATACATTATAGACTAATCAGCATTCAGATTTATGAGCCCAGTTGTTGTTTTGTTCTGTTTTGTAATGGATTTACAACCTCATGGGTAAACACACACATTGGTGAAAGGTCTCCAGAGATTTGAATAAGTACTTTGAAGAAAGTCCAGGACAGAGCTTCTCAGCACTATGTTTCAACCAAGTTTTCACATTTTGCCTTTCACCTCAATGTAAGCTTCAAAGTTTTAGGTAAGAATTTTAAAAAGTCAAATATGACAATGAGTATCTCTTAAATACAGCGTTGGGGGTTACTTTGGAATTGCTTTGTGATGACTACTAGTTTTAATCCCTCTGGTGCTGGATGTTAAATTCCATTGTTGTTTTTTTAATTTAATGACTTGCTAATGTAAACTTCCATCTAGAACAATCAAATAGTATTTATTCAAATTTGCAGTGTCTCTACTATGTCAGCAAACTCCCTCATCAAAACAGACACTTAAAAAAAAAAAAAGTTCACCTGAGTCAGGAGCTCTATTTCCTAAATTAGCACCAAAGTGTCACCTTGAATGACCTGTGAACAAATAAAGTCATTTATAATACATCCAGCTTTCCTCTACAGTGGACAGCTGAGACCACACATCTGTAGGAGCTCTAATTATTTCATATACTTGGAGTTGTTCAGACTTCAACAACCTGTCACCTCCAAATACAATCATATGATAAATATATGCTCACCAATCTCCCTTGAGATCTGGGTGAAGGCCTCCACACCACTCTCTCCATAGTTCCCCTCAGAAGCCAGTGTCGACACATAATTCCATCCCAGAGCCGTCACAATGTCCACCATGGCTTGAGCTTGGTAGGAGTCAGGCGGGACCACCCGAGAGAAGAAGTCATACCTGGTGTTATCACTTAGCTCTGGGGCTGTGGATGCATAGCTAATTTGAGGTATCTGTAAAACAAATGACAGTTAATTTCAACCCATGAGGAATCTTGTAGAATGATGGACTGTCCCAGGAGACCAAACGGTCAAAGCTATAACAAAAACCTAGACATACCAGCTCAAAGCCAAAATAAGGTTTCAAAATACCAATTATAAAATATTTTCTAATGATCCATGGGTTTGCTTTCTTTCAATGCACATACTTATAAATAGTGAGAAAGAATTTAGTCTTGCTTCAGTTTCCATTGTTTCATAAGCCAAAGGAAAACGTCTGTGCTTTTTTATTCTGTACCTGATTGTTCTAGCATAAAAATGAGAAAGAAATGAAGGCATAGTACATATATACATCAGAAAAGGTCACCTCTGAAATTATCCTTTGGCTTTAGGACACAAAGGCTATAAAAAATGACAAACAGGAAATTAAATGTAAGATATTTTGACACTTGATGATTTTTTAAGTCTTAATATTGAATTTCAGTAAATAATTTTAAGTATATAGTTTTGAAAGCCTATTCATCACTTATTGGTGTAATCATGAATACCTTATAAAGGTTTGGAAATAACCAACCATGTATCCTCTAATAAAAACATCTTTCTAGTTCCCCCTAAAAGTCACAAGGAAAAGAAATCCAGACCATAACTTCTTTTAAGAGATTATTTTCTGACATGAACAGGGCAAATTTTTTAAAAGATTTTTCAAAACTAGGAATTCTATGTCATTTCTCAATAATTTTGGAGGGTGAGCTGTACAGCTAGGTGTCTTATCACTCTTTGGCTGCTATTCTGGGATGTGGATGAAAGTTCAGAAGTCAAGCATGTCCTAACAGGTGGCTTGTTTGAAGATGAAGGCATGACTTAATACATAAAACAACTTTATTCTCCATCAGATATCGTAGCTAATGTCAGTGCTCAAAGACAATGTCAAAGAGGTTGTGGTTCTGTCTTCCCATGCCAATGTATACATCCTGGGATCCACTGGTTACCCACCACCCTCTAGCTTGATGAATTCCAATTCACATGGAGGTTTTGACTCCTCTCTTGACATCTTTGAAAAGCACTGAACACATGAACAGCCTTTCTAAGTCTAGATCAAGTAGTCCTATTCCATATTGGTGGCCAGTGAAGTAACTCTGAACTTCCCAAGATATAAATAAATTTTTTTTAAGTTGTCTGTTTTGATGAAGGAGTTTGTTTGCTGCGCCTCACCCTGGTACACAAGCAGAACCAGGTGCCTGGAGCTCACCAGGGTGCTGCAGGATTCTGTTTTAACGGGTATCAACCTATTTTCTCATACTAACTATAACAATGGCCACTCAGCCTATTTAACCCTAAATTCTTCCTGGTTTTGTCCTCTTGGTGAGGGCATATAAACTCACCAAGACTGTGGGATCAAATAAAACATCTGACCTCCCTCTTCCTGCCATTTGCTTTCTCTGGCTTGTTAGACAGGTGGATGATTTCACTAGGCTTTGTGCCTTTGAAATACATGACTACTGAGAAAGGCATGCCCCTAAGTCTCCAACCACACACCAAACTTTTGTGGCTTTTCTTGATTCCTTCTAGAGAACCTGAGGAAGAAATCATGAATGACTTGGTGTGATCTGCCCTTTACTAGGAAACATTTTTCCAAAGATCAAAACCATGTGTGTTTCTGTGTTCTAAAGAAAGAGATTCAGCAGTCTGACATTGGGAAGCACAGTGAGTCTGTGTGTGTATGCACACATACATGTGCACACATGCATATTCACACACACACACACACACACACACACGTTGGGGAACAGTATTCTATAGCATCTTCCATAGCACTGTACCATTTCTTTGTCCTATTTGGATACATAATCCTCCCACTTCTCCATCTACTCAAGAGTCCAGCAGTAAAATGCCTTATACAATCCCCACCCTCTCTATAATAATGAGCCACCCCTTTCTAAAAATGAGCACAAAGTGTGAAAATTGAGTGTTTGAAACCAAAACTAATTATCTCAAATTACTACCTTCAGTCAGTCACTTCCAGGGCTGTTTAATTAGCAGTCAGCATCATGTTTAGGATTAATTAAACAGGTGTAAAGACTATATAAAATAAAAGTGTAGATAGAAGATGGTTGCTTTATTAATTCAGTAATGGACTTTCTCCCCAAAGTCTTGAAAAGTTTTCTCTTTACAGATCAATGTGTGAAAAAGTAACGTGCAAGAATGTGTTTGTATTTTCACTTAGTTTTTGCTGTTACAGTTTATTATAATATACATCATGGTATAGGGTTAGTATTTAAGACAACTTTTCCAGTTATCATGTGGTCACATCTCATTTTTACTTTATTGCAGTAGACCACTAAGCATTGGCTCATTAAGCACTTTAATTTCGGTGCCAGCATCCCCAATATTTCCACTATCCTCAAGTTAAACCCCTACTGGCAACTGAAGTGAGAATTTATTAAAGTCATGGAATGCTTCTTTTTCTTTTCTCTACATCCAATCCATCCTAACTACCCTCCAACCCTGGAGGATTCATCTACCAGAAGCAGCAATAATAAAAAGGTGGTGGGTGTGGGAGAGAGGTGGAAAGGGAAATGAGATAAAAAAAAAAAAGAGGGAAAAAAGAAACAAAAGAAGGTATTAGAGAAAGCAGCCTTCAACTTTTCTCCTATCCTTTTAAAGTAAAATCCTTTATAAGCCTCTGTGAATCCCCACTTGCCAATTTTAAGAATAAAATGCAAACTCTCCAGTCTGCTTGGAATGATCAGCACACTGTGCCATCCTCTCTCCCTGCCTGGTGTTTTCTCTCCATACTCTGACAGCACCAGTACCCTTACCTACACTGTTCCCAGTACAGGGAGACTCCACTCTCTACCTGGTGATCTTCTGCATACTTCCCTGAGAAGCTTCCCCCAGCTCTATCAGGTAGAATTGTCTTTTGCTATTCCTCACTTCTATAGCCCTGCCTCTGATATTAGAATCTTTACTGCCTGCTTATGACCCTCTGTTAACTTATTTTGTATCCCCAATACCTGACAGCAAGCGCTCAGTGAATGTTTGGAGGCAATTCGCCAATTAAACCATGGCAGGAAATGTGATCCTGTTGCCTTCCCTGCATTCCATTAAAATATGGGTCACGGACTTCTCCACTGGCCCCTCCACCCTGCTGTATGTCCTCGGGGTTGCTCCTTACTGCTGTACCACCAAGCTTTCTTGCTTCTGGCTTGCAGTTGAGTTTGGACAATGGGAAACACCAACAGAGCATGGCAGGGAAAGAGAAGACAGAAGTTAGAACTGAGTTCTCCAGCTTCCTCCCCCACTGGTGAGGTGTTTCTCTGTCTGAGCCTTCACCATGGTTAAAGCTCTTGCCAGGCTATAGTGACCACCCTCTACCCTTGCACTGTTGCTGATTCCTGAGTACTTCAGCTTCCTGTGGTGGCTCCTTTAACTGCACCCACACCTTATAAAATCCTTTTGTTAGCCTCTTTTCCATGATGCCTGAGGGTGCCAGCAGCCTGACCAATGCACACCCCTATAACAGACCTCTGTGTCCTGCCCCTAACCTCTTAGTTCTCCTCCATCCACTTTCCATTCCAGCATTGTCTACCACTGTCCTTGCATGACTTTTCTTTTTTCTTCTCTTTCAGTTCCCAAAGACATCAAATTGCCTATTTGAAAACAACTGTCATTTTGCTTTTCTTTGTTTCTCATTTTCTTTGTTCTGAGGTTTCATAAGAATACGATGTGTGCTTAAAATGAGGCCATATTTCCAATACCCAAATAAAGCATATTTGAGGCAATTAATTACAGAACTCAGGACACTCATCATGCCCTCCCTAAAATAGTGCTTTTGCTTCCATTTTTCTGATAGTTATTTTTCCCGTTACATTCTCACTTTTGTCCACAGAAGAAGAGGTTTCTGCCCCCAGCCCTATCCTTCTTGGGTCATTCCAGAACAAAATTCTCTAGCTAGCTTTCCACCCCTACTTATTCTTCCTAATAGGGAGAAGAAACTAAACCCAAAACAGAAGCCAGAGTTCTACATATATTAAGTGAGAGTATATACAAGCTTTCCCTTTATTCTCTGACCTGCCTACACACATCCCAGACTTCTTTTCCTTACATAGCCAGGACCCCTCTTCTTGAAGTAGAAGCCCACTGTCCTTTGCTCCATGTTCCTGTGGCAACAAAGAACATGAGAGGACTGAAGCCCAGGCTGCTGGTTGAATAAGAGGACTTCAAGTATTCTAGGCAGGCAGAAGAGCGTCCCAAGGTTGAGATGTGGTATAGCAGGAGGAGGTACTATTTTGTCCTCAGGTCCAAGCTGAATTCCCTCCAATCCAGTTCTTCACAGACAGCTGTGTATCTAGGGAGCTATTTGGTGCTTGTTTGCCTAGCTGTTATGAAGCTAATTACTGGGTCTACACTTAACTAGCTATTCTGTGAATCTTGGACTTACAAACTCTAAGAAGGGATTCAAAAATTGGACTCAGAGCTCAAGTTAAAGTTCTATTTCAAAAGAAATTTATATATGCATATATGTATATACATATGCATACACATATAATTGTACACATATTATTTTTTAATAGAAGTTAGCAGAGACTCTTATCCTCTGGTGACTGTTCTCCACTTCTAGATAGAAGCTCTCACTTTTACCTAAGCTTTTGGCCACTCACCACTAGATTACATTTCTCAGCACTTCCTTGCTTTGGTAAGCATAACTTCTAAAGGGTCCTTGAAGAATGCATATGCCTTTCTCATGTACCTCCCTCTTTCTTGATGACTAGAATTTGGACATAATGTCTAGATCTCCAGGAGCCATCTCAGGCAATACCTTTGCCAAGATGGAGTAGACAGCCACACTCTAGTCAAAGCCTTTGTGATAGCCAGGCTCTACAACCATCTGATTGTTCATTTCCCATATTATTTAGGAACTATCTACTTAGCTCCCAAAGCTTCTTATTAGTGAATCTGTATTTGCTAAACTGAGGTGACAGAATTCCAATGTAAATCAACCAAGGGCCATTTCA